CATGCCGTTAGAGCAGCGTAATCAATTAGATAACACGACGCCCAGAGGACTTCCTGTTCGTCACACAAGATACCAGTCCCGCAGTCCTACCCTAATGGAAATTCAATCGGTGCAAAGAACCGATAGAAGAGTATCGTTTTACATGGCACACGGTTTTAAAATGGCGCATTTATTACGGCCTGCTAATGCTAAACGTTACCTGAAATTTATGATAAGAAGACAAGCTATGAAACGAGAACCATGCAATTCGGTTCAAACACTGAGTTACGCTACTGTTAGACAATGAACTAGGTTTATTGCCAACACGGAATCTTGACTGACAATAATTTGGTGCAGTAGTTAATGTCAAGGTTCACTGATTCACAGTCACGCAGCGTCAAGGCCACGGCGTTCAATCCGAAGGATCCCTGCGCCATTGAACTACGTGAAAATTATTAAAAGAACTTAATTAAGCTTGGATCAGCGTAATCGCCTCTAATCGTTATTACGTCGTGCTGCAGTCAAGGTTGCAGATAAAAAACGGTTTCCAATTCACTCTATCTTGTATAAACTTCATTTTTCAAATTACGTAAGCAAAGCATGACGAAAACCAATCTACCGTTGAACAAACGTTTCGAACAGCTCAAAGAGTATGATGGAAAAATTTGAAGAACTTTCTCTTCAAAAGCTATTCAAACGGAGTTCTGATTCCACTCGACGGTTCCGGTGATCGGGTCTCTCGGAGGCCTACAAGGGCTTTGGAGGGGAAAAGAAAAGGAGCAACAGGTGCGCTCGGTTGGGTACAAAAGCGTCCGTAGATAATCCCTACACGATTGTATGCGCCAACCGGAGGGAGCAACCATTGGGTCCAGTCGTACTTCGGAGGCACCTACGGAATTTCAGTTACTAGTCGGCCCTTCACGGCCGCCGATGGATAATCTTCGCAACAACAAGATCACACGTTTACGTAATGTACCGGTACTGGTTCGATTAACACACCTGCATCATCATCTGTCTGACAATTACTGCCTACGATTATACCGTACCGAGTCTGTCTGAAATCGTCGATCAATTTCATAATTGCAGATATTAAAGAAATCTTAACGGGATATCTTCAATGAGGAGGAATTCTTACAATCTGACGAACTCATTATGAAATTTTTTAATTAAACTTGGATTTTAACGTTTGAATTAAAACTGGAGGAATTTTATATTGTTCAAGCATGGAACGAGAGAATCACTTGGCTCGGCGATCGATAAAAACGCTGTTACCAGCTGCACACCGGATATCAAATATCAACGTAGAAAATAACTTCTTCCCTGTACCAATTAACTCGAGGCACTTATAGAAAAAAAATAATCATTAAATTGAACGAGGAGGAGATTAAATCGGAAATGTTAATCGGTCGGATTCTGATTAAATCGCTTCACCACGTCTCGTTACGTGGAAGCGAAAAATCTACGCAGAGCGCCACGGTCCATCTATTTATTCTGGACCAGTTAGAGCCACGTTACGCTCACAGGGAAACCATAACTTCAAACAACTATAATTAGATGACCCGGAGAAGTAGCACGTTGTTAAAAATCGAGCAAGAATTTATGTGTAAAAGAAGATTTAATGATGACACCAAGTCGTCGGCTGACCTCATCGTAATCCCCGTTATTATTCTGATGCATTCTCCCTTCGTCATGGGCCTTCGATCCAGATCGTAATCCGAGAACACCCGAGCCACCTAATTTTTACGGACGGCACACCTGGTTTCTTTTCTAATACGAAGCACGCGCGCACTAAATCACATGACGACGTAGTGGTCAACGGGACTCTCCAGATAGATGGAAGCTACCTCGAGGACGATCCAGCGGTGACTGGCGACGAGTGACGACCGCCAGCCAGACCTCGACGCAACTGGTGCACGTTTCACGCACAGACGCTGGGAGGTGGCCTGGACACGAGGTCTCCGACCCGCTTACGGGGAAACTATTACAGGAAGACCGCCGGATATATGGCAGCAGACCAGCTGATACCCTCGCACAATCGCGATTTTTATCAATTCAACCATTCTTATACTATGAATTCATTTCGTCATTTAAAACGGATGTACTAAACTGGATATATTTTTGCTATCAAAACTTTGGTTGATATCTTCTAACGACAATTTTTAGTATCTCAGTTTGGCAAATTTTTACATTTATTCTACATTTATTTTCCTACGAATTTGTTTCAACACTTGAATATCGATTACTCTGTAACAGTCCTTAATTTAATTTCGATATCTTAATGTATGACACTCTTATGAACTCAGAATATCTGCAGATTTTATATGTAATTTTATAATTAATTCTTATTACTGCCAATATTGATTGATAAATTTATATACGTGAGGCTTTTATGAACTTAGGAACTAACGATATCAGGATATAATTTTGTATACATACAGGGTCTTGGTACATCTTCATCCACATTAAGTAGAAGAGTTGCAAGTCTGAGAACCCTGCCAGAGAAGGAGATCTGGATTGGGACATTCTTAGTGTGTTCGGCCTCATTCTACACGGTGGGGAAGGCTGGTTGGGGGATGGAAAATCTCGTGCCAAATCGAGGAAGCTGACACAAACCAAATTTGAGAGACAGTTAATTAGAAGTCAATCAAATACCCAGAATACTAACGTTTGTCCTCTAATCTGATACAAAAATCATATTTCGTTTAGAGTAGTGAACTACTTGAAAACATAAAATCAAAAATGAATCATTAATTCTATTAAAAGCAACTTCTTATATTATTGGCTGATTAAATACATTTTTATATTTTATGAAACCAGAATTCATAAAATACTTGATATCGATTTAGCCTAACAAACGAAATGTTATTCATTACTAAAAGAATATAGGATGAAAGCTATAAGAGAAACAAACGAAATGGAATTTGTGAGGAGACAGAAAATCCCTTATCGATCAGAAAACATAAAAATATAGGATTGGACTTGATTCGTGCGGATTGGAATAGTGCTAGCTGGGATAATAATACCTATAGCCAGGCCTCGGTTATGCGAATGGAATTGGGTCAATGCGAAGGGAACGCGTCGTTCGAACCCCCGGGATGGATGACTCGCGGCTAGAACGCGCCACGTTTTACTGTCTCCGGGCAAGAAAAAAAGAGATAGTACACCAGTTTCCAGGTCAACGATGTGGCTCTTTTAACGAGACACCTTGCCTATAGACAATTCGTTGCGAACGATTCTTGCTTACACCGATATTTTTATTGCTGACCACTGTGCCCCTCGATTCTTCGCCACTCAATCGATTTTTCAACAACTCGTTTACAGTCGAGTCTCATTTTATTCTTCAAA